GTCCCCACTGACCGGAAGCGTGGCGTGGGGGTGTAGGGGGGCGGCTGCCAGCTCAGCCCCTTGGTCAGCAGGCGGGTCAGTGCCGAAGCCGTGGCACGGGCGGCCGCGGTGGGCGCGGGGGCAGCGGCGGCTGCGTGGTGGCTGCGCCGCTGCCGCACYGGGGAGCCCACACACAGCTTGACCAGCAGCCCAAAGAGCTCGGCCAGTGCCCGGCCCAGCCGTGACGAGGCTGTGGCGGGAGGGAGATAGGGGTGAGACCCCCGGGAGGGGACAGGGTGAGACCCGCGGGAGGGGACACCGGACAGGGTGAGACCCGTGGGAGGGGACAGAGGACAGGGCAGGGGACAGGGGACAAGCTTGGCCAGCACCCAGCCCAACCATGATGAGGCCGTGGGGGGAGGGGACGGAGTGAGACCCCTGGGAGGGGACACAGGACAGGGTGAAACCTCCAGGAGGGGACAGGCTCAGCCAGCACCTGGCCCAGCCTCAATGAGGCTGCGGGGAGGTGGGACAGGGGGTCCACAATGGTGACACAGGGGACAGGGTGAGACCCCCAAGAGAGGACACGGGTGAGACCTCTGAGAGGGGACAGGGCGGACAGGGTGAGACCCCCCAGGAAGGGACAGAGAACATGGGGGACACAGGACAAGCTCAGCCATACACCCAGCCCAGCTCTCCAGGCCATTTCTGGGATTTCCCAAACCACTTTAGGAGTCTCCCAACTTAAGTTTTGGAATTCCCAGGCCGTTTTAAGAACTCCCTAGTTTATTTTGGGAGCCCCCTGACCAATTTTTGGAGCCCCCGCCTCATTTTTGGAGCCCCCGTCTCATTTTTGGAGCCCCCATCACGTTTTCTGAGCCCTCTCCTCACCGGATAGCAGAGGTTTGATCTGTTTGATGCGGGCRGCCATGGCTGGTGTGATCTTGGCCTTGGCTTTGGGGTCGCTGGTGCTGGGCTCGTCCGTCTCCATTGGGGCCAGCGCCTCCCCCTCCAGCCCCATCCCCTCCAGCAGCCCCTGGGCTGGGGGAGGGTCACTGCCCAC